GAGCAGTTAGTAACCACCAAATAAGTTGTTATTGAAAAGAGCTGGGCAAAAGGTGACTGTCCTGGAGCTGGATTAAGAGCTAAAGCTGGAGCCAGCAGGTGGCATGGTGGTTAAGGTGCTGGACCTCCACATGGCTGACTGCTGTTCAAGTCTTGGACCTAGTGACTCACTTTCCTTTTCCCTCTCGCTATCTCTGATCAAATTAAAAAATAAAGAATAACAAATAAACAAAAATAAATAATTATTTAAGGACAATAAGAGCTAAAGCTGGGGCTGGCAGGTGGCATGGCAGTTAAGGGGACTGGGCTCTGACATGGCTGACTGCAATTTGAGTCTTGGACCTGGTAGCCTGCTTTTTCACTTTCCCTCTTTCTCTCTGGTCAATTAAAAAAATAATCTGGTGACCAACAGATTATTGTGTAATGGTTACATTGCTGGATTCCCACATAGTCAACCATGGTTTGAGTCCTGGACCAGCGGCTTAAACTCAACATCGGGTACGTGTGCACTTGTGTGTCCAAGGTCCTGAGAGGGGAATGAAGGAGGAGGGATTATGGAGTGGCCATACCATACCCCCTTGGGGGGTGATTTCTCTCTTTCTCTCTGTCTCTGTTTTTCCAGTGAGTGCATGCACCCTATAGCAAAAACCTCTTTAAAAAAAACAATGATCGAGTCAGCAGGTGGCATGGTGGTTAAGGCTGCTGGACTCCCATATGACTGACTGCAGTTCAAGTCCCTGACCTGGCGGCTTGTTTTCTCACTTTCCTTCTCTCTCTCTTTTACTCTGTCCCTCTAGTCAAATTAAAATAAGTAAATAATTATAATGATTCTTTAATAATAATAATGAAAAATAAAGTTAAGAAAAGAGAGAGCTAAAGCTTTCCTTTGTCCATTTCCTTCCTGTTCTGCCTAATAGGAATGGGAGGGTTGGACAGCGGGTGAGAAGAGCACTCATGCAGGCCCTTCATACATTGTGGATACAGATCTGTTTTTCAAGCCCAGGGAATGAGAAGGAAGCATTTGCACTCTCCAGAGCATCTATTGTTTGTCCCAACCACAGCCACCTTGCACGGACTACCTGGTTCAGGTAAGGGGAGTAGGAGTGGAGTTTTCATAGCTATTAATATTTTCAAGATTCAAAAAAAGCCAAATAGAGGGACCAGCAGTTGGCATAAAGGCTATGTCGCTAGACTCCCATGTAGTCAACCGTGGTTTGAGTCCCAGACCCAGTGGCTTAAACTCACTCTGGGCACGTGTGCATGCATGCCCAAGATCCCGAGAGGAAAATGGAGAAGAAGGGATTTCAGCGTGGCCATCCCCCCTGGGGGGTGATTTCTCGCTTTCTGTCTCTGTCTCTCTCTGTCTTCCTGGTAAGCGCATGCACCCTATAGCAAAAACCTTCCCCCCCCCCCCCAAAAAAAAAAGCCAGATAGAAATAGGTCTCTGTCATAATTCTCCTTGCTCTACATTTGGAAATACTGGTTGTGCTGACTACAGATCTGGTTGGCAGCTATAGGCCTGACTTCTTAAATTCTCAGCTGTTAATATAGGGGAGAGAAATGAAGTTTGATGGGGATAGGCTCCAAATAGGGTCGCCCTTTTGTTTTCTTGAGTGTGGAAGCAACCCCAACAGCCGAGTGACTCAGTAAACAGGAATGTGTAATGTTGCTGGGACAGACTGGACATCTATAGTCTTGTCAGGAGAAGGCCAAGGTGGGCTGGGTGTGGAGTGAGCCCATGCACCGACTGCACCTGCTCCAGGACTGGCCATGATTCAGCATTCAGTAATGTTCCACTCCTGTCCTTGCAGAACCGAAGATCTGACTGGAACTCAGGCACAGCCTCTGTGGGTGCTAAAGACCACAATGTCAGAGAAATAGGGCCCTCATAGAGAACAGTTGGGAAACAGCCCGGACTGCAACCTCTTTTCAGTACATCATCTTTAGTATCCACTGTCTGGCCATTTAAAAATTATTAAAAGTTTATTTCTGTCATAAGAGAAAGTGTGCATTGGGGCCAGCAGGTGGTGTAGTGGTTAAGGCTGTAGACTCCTACTTGGTCAACCGCAGTTTGAATCCCGTCAGCTTGAAACATGCCAGGCATGTGTGCGTGCATGCCCAAGATCCTGAGAGGAGAGTGGAGAAGGGATTGCAGTGTTGCGATCCCCTCTGAGGGGTTGATTTCTTGCCTTCTGTCTCTCAGTGAGCAAAGATCTCTCTCTCAAAAAAAAAAAGTGTGCGCTTGCAAGAGAAACAAGGACAGGGAGGAAGGGAAGCAGGTAGAGACAGGTTCTCAAGACACAGTCTCCTCATGCCAGCATCCCCGGATTCTGGGCCTGTGTCTGGTGTATTTCAAGTTACCCCAGATCTAAATGCCTGTCAGCCATGGGCTCCAACATCGCAGAGCAATGGGCTATGGCCTACTTCACCAAGGTTAGACGAGAAATCTCTTTTAGCTAATTCATAAGCAATTTTAAAAATTTGAGAAAGATTTCCTGTACCTTTTACTGTTTTTCACCACTGGTGACATCTTGCAAAACTATGGTAAAGCTTACACTAGGATATTGGCATCGATTCAGTCAAGATATGGAACATTTACACATCCACATGTACCTCCTTCCAGCCCTGCACCTGGATCCCTGGCAACCATTGCCCCAACCCCACCCCCATTTTTCCTCCCTTATTAAGTCCTCGCCTTTTTTAAAAAAAAGAATTATTTATGTATTCATTTATTTTAATTCGGCCAGAGAGAGAGAGTGAGAAAGCAAGCCACCAGGTCTCAGACTTGAACCGCGGTGGACCATGTGGGAGTCCAGCGCCCTTAACCACCATGCCACCTGCCTTTGCTTTATAAAAAGACCCTGTTCCCATAACCAGGACACGGAGCCCAAAGTTAGGTCTTGCCTTGACACCCAGGGACATGTTCTCCCTGCCAGCACGTCGCCAAAGCCGGTGGCGACACGAGGCTCAGTAGAGAGGAGCGGTGATGGGGCTGCGAGGGACGGCATGATGTTGGCATGACTTCCTGTCTCCCGCCAGATGCTCCTCACTGCAACTGCGATGAGCGCTGGAGCGCGTCGAGCTGCCTTCAGAGGTTTTAATGTCATTTTCCTACTTATCTCAATAACACAATCCGCATTTCAAACTGGGACAGAAACTGAGTTGGCTCCAGGAGACACTTATCACCACTGAGAACCTTGGGAAGATGGAGCCAAACGAGTGTGCGGGGCGGCGGGGCGGGCCAGAGGCCGTCCCCTTTTCCCAAGGCCTGGGGCCTGCAACCTCCGACTGCCACGCAACTGCGAGCCCTTCAGTTGACAACGCCGGAGGGCGATCCCGTTGCTATGAGCGTTGCTGGGGAGGGGCCAAGAGGAGGGGCTCACTTCCGGGAGGCGTGCCACTAGTAACCCGGAAGCGGTAGGCAGTGCGGCGCTGTTTAAAGATGGCGGCGGAGGAACCTCAGCAGCAGAAGCAGGAGCCGCTGGGCAGCGACTCCGAAGGTACAGGCGAGGAGGAGGGATGTCCTGGCCGGGCTAGGGGAGTGATGCCGGGTCGGCTGTTCTCGACGAGGTCTGAGAAGCAGCGGGGTACGAAGCGCGCGGACGGCCCCTTCCTCCGCCTTCGCTACCTCCCCTCCCCCTGTTAATGGAAGGAGCCGCTGCCGCGGCCCCCCGCCCGGCGGGCGGCGCGG